AGAATGTCCCTTTTTTTGTTGTTGTTATTTATGAAAAAAAGTTGTCTTTCTCCAGCTCGCTCACACAAAAAAAAAACCTTGAGTTCATATTGTTTTCAGTCTCGTCAGGGTTTTGGAACGGCCCCCGGCCCTGAAAAATATCACCGCTGTACAATGAAATGTACACCACCTGGCTCTCCCTCGACACACACACACATATACACACACACACACATGCTCAAATGCTCATACATGCTTAAAAGGGAAAAAAATGACATCCTTATACGTACATGTAAACACACATGTATACACACAGAAGCCTCGACACACACACAGACACACACGTTCTGATAGTCATATACACACAGGCTCCCTCATTCACACACACAGACAGACAGACAGACACACACACACACACACACACACACACACACGGGTGATCTCAAAGGGGGCAGCTGGATTCAAACTGTATTATGTAACAATGTGAGGAAAGAGTGGGAGACATACAAACAGTGAGAGCGCGCGAGAGAGAACAGAGGTTGTGATTGTTCCTGTCGAAAAATTTTCCAATCCTTCAGAGGACAAAGGCTATTCTCTGTCTCCTCTCTCTTTCACTCACACACACACACACACACACACACACACACTCTCGCATGTATTAATCCTGTGTGTCTCTGTGTTGTACGTACTCTGTTACACACACTCTGTACACTCATATTAGTTCCTCTTTTGTGCTAACACACAGAGACACACACACATAAAAATGTACCATCAGACCCGTATACACTCTTTTCTCTGTGTCACATACACTCTCACACACACATACTCTGCCAAGTGCAGTAGGAGGGGAAGCGACAGCCAGTCTCATTGCTGTTAATCCACACATAATAAGGGCAAAGAAAGTTTTGGCAGGAATAAGAGAAAATCGCAAAGACAGGAGGTGAAGGAAGTGGAAGGAATCTGCTGTTACCAAACAGACCAAAAATAGTTGGTGAGGAGAGATGGGATTGTTAAAGAGAAGTAGTTAAATGAGAGGTTCGGGTTTCTTGGAGCTTGGTATGTGGGTATAATAAGACAGAGTTGCAAAGTGAGTGGAGCTATTTCAGGCGCACTGACAGCTGGAGCATTTCCACATCTCAGACAGGCGTTAAAACTCTCCAGTTCGAGTCATCATTGCAAGAGATGAAGTGTTAGGAAATGTCTAATTCTTTGATCTGAAGTCGCATTGGTGCATTTTGGTATGAAACATTCAATCACGGATTCAAGATCTGTTACTTGCATTGCTAACCGCTGGTGGAAGCTAAAGATTATGCCGTTGAGAGGACTATCAACTGATTATAAGCTGTATAAAACAATGGCCGTCACCCACTGGTTTGTGGAGTGCATTTTGAAGCCTCGAGTTTGGCATTTTGGCTGCTGCCATCTTGGATTTTTAGAGCCAGAAGTGACCGTATTTGGACGAGAGGGTTGAGCTTAACCTAATGCTAACTGCTAGCTTGGTTAGCATAGCAGCTATGGTTAACTGTAATAATTCTACTACTAACTCTGCTACTCTTTGATATAGACAGCTGCGGACGTGATGCAGCAGTACAGAGGAGGAGAAACTTTCCATTGTAAGGCTCCGAGATAACATTATCTTCTCTGTTCTGCTTAGAGGTGGTGAATTTACAGCTCCCAGATGCTTAATACAACACAATCTCTGGCTTTGTTTGATATCTAGTGTCAGCAAAAAATGTGGTTGCACATTTCCGATCCGTCATTAGCGCTATTAGCTTGTTTACTATATTACATGAATGCTGCTGTGACACTAAATGTCCCGCTGAGCTCCGTTCAAACTTTAAAACTTCATACAGAAAAAACTAATCATTACATATTTGTATTAAATGGCCAAAGCTGATTCCACTGACATAATTCTGTTTCCGGTACAACCCTAGCTCTTTCCGTAAAAACTGAACATTCGACTCCTTAGAGAGTCTTTAAGCCCAACCAAACGCTGAACAAGACTTTTTTGTGACCAAAATGTCAACTTTCATGAACTGAAAACACACTTAAATAGTGACAGCTACGTCTATACTCTGAATCTGGGGTACCCCAGCACCCACCTGCCACTCAAAGAAGCCACACCCTTAATATGCATAACTTTAAATATGCGTAAATAACTTATAAAAGTTGCCTGATTGACGCCGATGTTAACACTTATATTTTCATCACTAATAAAATGCAGGGAATATGGTGTTTACCTAGAAATGATGTCCATGTGTTACTTTTTGCACTATAACCTCTGTTAAATTGGCAATAATAAGAAGAACTCTGGTACTGTGAACATACATGTGAATATCTTAATTCATATAGACTTTGCATGATTATTTTATTTCCCAGAGGTTTACTGCCTTTTTGCACATCATATTTTTGATTTATTTTGTGTTCAAATTGTTCATATGCTGCTTGTTCTACACAATTTCTGATAATAAAAGTATTTGAAAATAGTAAAATGTTCTTCCTTCAATTTATATCTTTGTAACGAGTGTTTGAACTATATTTAAGCCACCAAAAGCAGGTATTTTGGGGGTTTTTAAATTGAAAAATGTAAAAATTTAATCGGCCGATATATCAATTTTTTTATTCCATAATATTGGAATCGGTATTGGCACCCAAAAATCCATATCGGTCTGGCCCTACTTATAAACGGGTGATTTATAAAAATTCACTCCCCGTACAGTTGTCATGAAAAGAGAAATTGACTGCAGAGACCAAAATTATTTTTTGTACCAGGCTACATGTGTTTATGTTGGCTGTTATGTTCTGCATTTAACATGGCTGTCTATGAGGACTGATTCACTCTTGGAGTCGGCCTCAAGTGGCCATTAGAGGAACTACTCTTTTTAGGACTTCATTTTTCAGCACTGGGGACTGCTCCTGGACTATGAGACAGTGTTTTGTTTTTGCATTTTGTATTCACTACAGCTCTAATTCGCACCTCTGACTTGGCTCCAAAGCACCTGCAAACAAGGCTCATGGGTATTGTAGTATTTAGAGCCATCCACCATGTCTAACTGACAGAGAGATCATGATTTCTCAGAAACAATGTTAAGATAATTACAGGTGAGTAGCATAACATAAATCTAAAGGAGCATAATCATGATTTTATGTAGCAGAATCTTAAGTTACTACGTTGAGTCACACCACAGACATCGTTAAAAGAAGAATTTAAAATGGCAATACTTCTGGAACAACTGGCTCCTCCCACTTTGAAACACTCTATGTAATTTTAAAGACCACCTGCATCCTAAAGTTAACCCACAGCTACTTTGAGAATTAAGCGGTTTCATTTAGCCAAATCGACTGGGTAACAGCAGGTATATGAACCCTTTCAGATACACCCACTAACATAGAATGTACTGACACACCCATGTGCATGCACATCAGAAACATAGACAGTATACCACAGCCAGACAAACGTTAAGACAAACACATAATGACACACAAACTGCATTGTCTCATGTCCTTGCGTTATCTGTGCATGCTGGCCCTGCTGTGTAAGAATGCACGCGTGTGTGTGTGTGACTTGTTCCTTGTCTAATCAGCTCGGTTCTTATCTTCATTATCCTGATGAATTCAGTCTCTATGTTTGCAGATGATACTGTTAACTTTGTTCATGTTCGTTGTGTCGTTAAAGGGCCAGTCTTCCCTACAAAGTCAAACAGCACTAACAGTTCAGCGTTCATGGTTGGTCGATACATTTGAAGGTGCTGTGTGGAGCGTTTAAACATCAGTTGTCAAAGTAGTTGTAATAGCCTGTTATAAATGAGACTGGTGGTGATGATTAGTAGCATCTCTTCCAAAACAGTGGTGCTGTTGATGCTTGGATTTTTGTCTTTTAATTACAGCTGGATTGCCTGTGACCCCTGCTGCTTTATGTAGCAAAGAGGGTGTAACTTGTGTTTTGATTTTGCTTGTTTACACTGGTGCGCTAAAATCTTAACATAAGCAACATAGGTGGGGCTAGCTATCCATCGAGTAGGAATGTGAAGTGATAACTGTTGAAGCATTGATAATATTTGTGACTACTTATGCATGTCAGTCAATAGGTTAATTTTGCTTTTCTTCTTAGAGGTACTGGCACTATGCTTCACCACAACAAAGCTGATATTAATATTCATGTAACACTGGTTAGCTAGCCACCGCCACTCTGTATTATCAAAGATACTGGATTACTACAAGATGGCCCACCTATAATATACTCCCATTGTATGAAATTGTATACATTTCCGATCTCCTAAGTAGGCGTTGTCCCCCGTACCCCAATCAAAGATGATGGAGAACCACCAATCAAATACGAGTATA